TCCGCCTGTGGGTCAACACGAAATCACCCGCCATGTCCACGACTTTGCTGACGCTGCGAAGCGGAGAGGATGACATCCCTCCTTCCTGTCTTTGTACCACCCGTGCCCGACCAGAAACGAGCACAAAGGCAATCCCCCCCGCAACTTAGGGTTGAACAACGGTCAGATGGTAAGCCCTTGTGCCCCCCCCCCCTTCGCAAAAACCATGGCGAAAAAAAAAAAAAAAAATTTGAAAACAAAACGTAACATCGCAAACATGGATTCGGACCCGGGACGCGCGGAATCATCCGTCTGTCTGCCATAGTGTGTGCGACCATCCCCCGCCTCGTACCCATGTCCGTTTGAGGACAGATACTGGCTGTCCCGCGAGGACGCACCTGCGCATGTCACCGATGCCCAAATCGCTGAATTTCATCCTCCGGGTCTCACGGTTGCACCAATTTGTGCAGGTAAGGTCTGCCCCTCAGCAGGGGTTCCAAAACAGTCTTGTACCAAGGGTTGTCCACCATTTCGCCCTCGTGGTTCAAGGCTATGGCTGACATCACATGCTGGATAATATCCCCCACAACGTCACGGTGATTACAATTCCAACCGTCCGGGATGATGTCATGCAGTTTCTTCGCAAAGAAGATGACGTCCGAGAGTCGGTCGTTGTTGTCGTATCCAAGCTCCGCCAGAATCTCCATGGCATACAACCCACTCACGTGCACATTGTACCACCTATCAGCATGAGCGGTGACGTCCGGGCTGAACACCATCTCCGGCAGGTGCACCGAAAAGCGATTGCGCAACACCCACTTCACCACCACTACACGACCCTCCATAATGCCATCGAAGATTGTATGCACTTCCATCTCTCTCTCTCTCTCTCTTTTTCTCTGTCTCTCTCTCTCTTTATGTACATATATATATATATCCATATCTATCTATCTATCTATCTATCTATCTATCTATCTATCTATCTATCTATCAATCTATCTATCTATCTATATATATATACCTCGTTTGTTGTCCTCTTCTCTCTCTCTGCCTACGGTTCACCGGGCAGTTTTGTTTGTGACGATATATATATATATATATATATATATATATATATATATATATATATACGTTGACCACCTCTTCTCCCTCTCTCCCACTACATATGTAAAACGTTTACCACCTCTGCTCCTTGCTGTCCACGTAGCGAAGCACCGCGACACGTGCTTCGGGTACCTATATCAGTGACCTGCAAGAAGGCCATCATGCACGACACATGGTGGTGAGGACGTATGTGAGATGGAGACGGCCATGGTTGGGAGACGTACATAATGAAAAAGAGAAGGAAATCCAAACGCCACACCAAGAACGGATGAAGCATTGAATAAAAAAATAAAGAAAAATAAAAAAATAAANAAAAAAATAAAAGGATGTGAATCCATTCGGTGATAAGCACTTGGACATGGTGTCTTCCCCCCCCCCCCCCCCCCCCCCCCCCCCTTGTGTCGTTGGGGGTGCAGATGCCGGCTGTGCCGCCAATGAACCGGACAGCATTGCAAAACACTGCAAGAGCGTGGTGTTCCCATCTGCCATGGTCTTGTTGATGCCATGGTTGGCATCAATAGGACTGCCAGACAACCTGTCAGTTTGCCCTTTCATGGCATCCACGAGAGTGTGGGCGACGTCTACGAACGTGCCCCCCCCGCCTCCCTCTACAGAACTCTCCGACGGCGAACGTCTGACGTTTCCTCTCCCCCCACCACGTCGAGCGAATTTCGCTCTGTCAGCACTATCGCTGTCTGCTTTCCGGCGACCGCCACCTGTGTCCTCCCCACCGCCCGTGTCAGAGCTCTCTTGTCTGTGCTGGACGGCCCTCCTTGCAGATGCACGCTCTGCATGAGACCAGCAGAATGTCCATCTGCTTTCGCAAGCTTCCACTGGAGTGCTTTGTACAACTCGCGTTCAAACGCCAACGGAAGTCCTGCCGCCTTTCGTACATCCCGTGACGCATTCCAGTACAACGGCGCGCCAGACTTCCCTCCAAAATCACGGATCCGATCGGATTCCTCTTTGCGCTATCTAGGAGCCCGTAGTACTTCCTCTCGCATTCGTCCACGGTGCGCTCGCCATATCCTTTCTCGACAAGCTTCTTCACAATCCACTCGTACTTCTCCTTCCTGCTTCTCATCTGTTGCCTGCCTTTTTTCTTTTGCTGCATACAATCTTATTCAAGAAGCAGTTTCAGCACCCGGTTTGCAGCAGGTGGTGCTCCCCACCAATAGATGGAGCCTCCCCGACCATGCTAGTGGCGTCTGCTCTTATCAGCACCCCTAGCATCCACTCGGGTTGTTTTTTCAAAAAAAAAAAAAAAAAAAAAAAAAAAAAAAAAAAA